ATGTGTATTGCAGCTTATAATCTTAACTCTAACTTAAATCACAGCTATAATGTGTATTGCAGCTTATAACCTTAACTCTGACAAAAATCACAGCTATAATGTGTATTGCAGCTTATAACCTTAACTCTAACTTAAATCACAGCTTTGATGTGTATTGCAGCTTATAATCTTAACTCTAATTCAAATCACAGCTATGATGTGTATTGTAGCTTATAATCTTCACTCTAACTAAAATCACAGATTTAATGTGTATTGCAGCTTATAACCTTAACTCTGACATAAATCACAGTGACTTAACGTGAATAACCTTTAAGTCTCACCCCAACCACAGGTATAATATGAAGGGAGCATATAAGCTCAATACTGAAACGAAACACAGGTATAATTTGTAAAGTAACACATATCGTTTAGATGGGAGTAGGCTTTTTCCTTTTTATTTCCTTTTCGTTAAGAAACCTAAACCCCCTGCATGAACATTCGTTACCCTCGACTAAAGCTGTACACCTGTAATAATGTGTAAAGCTGTACACCTGTAGTAATTTGTAAAGCTGTACACCTGTAGTAATTTGTAAAGCTGTACACATGTAGTAATTTGTAGAGCTGTACACATGTAATAATTTGTAAAGCTGTACACCTGTTATAATTTGTAAAGCCGTACACCTATAATAATTTGTAAAGCCGTACACCTGTAATAATTTGTAAAGCTGTACACCTGTAATGATTTGTAAAGCTGTACACCTGTAATAATTTGTAAAAACCGGATGTTTTTAATTCCTTTTTGTTTTGTTTTTGTATTTTTTTTCCAAATTATATTAGAGCTTGACAAAAACATTAAACACCTTGACAACTTTTGTCATCATTCCAGCTTGTTTCATCGTCTTTTAATCACCATCCGCGCTTTCTTCATCGGCACGTGTGATCGGTCGACAAAGAAAAACCTCCAACACATGGATTGCTTGGAGTCTCCGTTGTCTTCCATGTATTTGCCGTTAAGATTAGAATGTGAGCACGCGCGGTACCACCAGGCACCATGGCGGTAAAGGGCACAGTCTATGTTTGCATTGTCGTCGTTGTCACGGTCTTTCGTGCTGAACATACTCCCATTTACATACTCCATACCGTCACCTGTAGCAATACATCAATAATTCAATTAATTCTCTCTTTTTTATCCTTATTTACTTTTTAACCTAGTTTTGATTAATGACACTCTGCCTACATTGATCGCATACATTGACTGCCTACATTGATCGCCTACATTGACTGCCTACATTGATTGCCTACATTGACTGCCTACATTGATTACCTACATTGACTACCTACATTGATTGCCTACATTGACTGTCTACATTGATTGCCTTCATTGATTGCCTACATTGATTGTCTACATTGACTCCGTACATTGACTACCTACATTGACTGCCTACATTGATGGTCTACATTGATTGCCTACATTGACTGCCTACATTGATTGCCTACATTGACTACCTACATTGACTGTCTACATTGATTGCCTACATTGACTGCCTACATTGATGGTCTACATTGATTGCCTACATTGATTGCCTACATTGATTGTCTACATTGACTCCGTACATTGACTGCCTACATTGACTGCCTGTATTGATTGCCTACATTGATTGCCTACATTGACTGCCTACATTGACTGCCTACCTTGATCGCCTACATTGACTGCCTACCTTGACTGCCTACATTGATTGCCTACATTGATTGCCTACATTGACAGCCTAAATTGACTGCCTACATTGCCTGCCTACGACTGCCTACATTGATTGCCTACATTGAATGTACCCTAGCATCACGTTAGATGATTCTGTATCAAATAAGAACTATAAATTTCCAACGTTGATAATCCAACATGAATTGGTCATAAACCCTAGACACTGGTCGATATTATAGATACGTCCACTTCGTTGAAGCAGGGTATCAAAAGTTATGGAATTTTGAAGAAATTCCATCAGGATCATTACAGGAAACCCTTCATACATGTTTTATCCTTTGGTAGGTCGGTTTTACCCCTTATAAAATATCGAAGCTTAATCACATAAGGATAAAATGTAACAGCTTAATCACACAGGGATAAAATGAAACAGCTTAATCACACTAGGATAAAACGTAACAGCTAAATCACACAAGGATAAAATATAACAGCTTAATCACACTAGGACAACATGTAACAGCTTAAACACACTACGACAAAATGTTACAACTAAATCACACAAGAATAAAATGTAACAGCTTAATCACACAAGGATAAATGTAACAGCTTAATCACACAAGGATAAAATATAACAGCTTAATCACACTAGGACAAAATATAATAACTTAATCAAAATACAACAAAATGTAAATATTAAACACACTAGGACAAAATGTAACAGCTTAATCACACTAGGACAAAATGTAACAGCTTACTCACACTAGGACAAAATATAACAGCTTAATCACACTACGACAAAAAGTAACAGCTTAAACACACTAGTACAAAATGTAACAGCTAAATCACACTAGGACAAAATGTAACAGCTTAATCACACAAGGACAAAATGCAACAACCTATTCACACTACGACAAAATATAACAGCTTAATCACACATGGACGGACACAGTGTAACAGCTTAAACACACTACGACAAAATGTAACAGCTTAATCACACAAGGACAAAAGAGCACAAACAGCTTTATCACACTAGGACAAACTATTACAGCTTGATCACACTGGGACAAAATATAACAGTTTAATCACACAAGGACAAAATGTGATAACTTAATCAAAATACAACAAAATGTAAATATTAAACACACTAGGACAAAATGTAACAGCTTAATCACACTAGGACAAAATGTAACAGCTTACTCACACTAGGACAAAATATAACAGCTTAATCACACTACGACAAATGTAACAGCTTAAACACACTAGTACAAA